TCATAAGACGTACGTTCGCCTCTTCCCGCGCTTCAGCTGACAGTTGTGACGTCATTGTAGTCCTTGTCAAAGCCTTCGTAGCCTTGTCATGATAGTGTGTATTATTAGTTGCCTACGGTAAACTTATAAAAATAACAGCTGAGAAATTTTGAGTTAATTATTTTGTCAATTTTAGATGTGAAAAGGGTGTCTTTAAAGTTTTTAGAGCTATAGCGTGTATAAATACGTTCATTTTGTGTTGTGGATTGTAACAAAGTGCTTACTAAGTGCCAACGATTTTGTTTATTAATTATTTTAAAGCAAAATATGGAAGTACTCTAAAAACAATGCTTGCAGCAAAAGGTGATGCTGGGAACTGCTGTTCTTAAAAATGCATTATCCGAGTATTTGATACGATTTATACAGTTAATTTTCTATACTGCATACATATAAGGTGTTTAAATAAATAAACTAAATAATAAACGTTTTGCATTCGGCAACCAATAATGCACGTGTGTATATTATTGGTTGCCGGATAAGGACTAATAACCATGACAAGGACTACAATGACGTCACAAAGCGAGTAGTTTTCGCATGCTCCTGGCGGACACTTTTGACTGAATGAGCCGTCCTATTAGGTTAACTGTTCTTGGGCAGAGGGACTGAAGCGTATCGGAAACAGCGTTGTCAAATTCTTACTAACTTCGTTCCTAACCTACCAGCTCTGTTAACATTTTACTGATATTTATTTATTCTTTCGCCTCTTAATTAAATCTATTACCTTTTTCAAAGGATACAAATTTTGAAAATAAAATTGTCATAATAATATAAATTGTACATAAGATGTATGGAACTCATACAGAACGGAAGCTTACGTATAGCGTCAATACAACAAAAATACGGAACGGATATGGAATGGAAACGGAAGGTATAATGAGAATCAACCTTTATTGTCCAAAATAAGATTTTCTGTATTGACTCCAATTGGAAGGTATTTCGTTTTTTTCTGTATTTACTCTGAGATCCCATTTAGCGTATTCTTCAATTATTTTTCGCACCATATATTCCATGTCATCTTGGACTTTTGGTGTTACAACAACGAAAGAAAACAATAATTCACCACAATACACCAAAACATTTTACTTTTGCACTGGACGCGTGTTTCCCTAACCAAGTTGGCATCATCAGCAGATGATTAAAGCTAAACTAATATCTACAAATTGAGCGTTTATATAGGCGCTCAGTTGGCATCGAGTAGGCCAAGCGAGTCAAAACCAACCGAGCGTAACAATTAATTACCGAAACTAGAGCAATAGGAACAGAAAACTGGAAGGAATTGGAATCTTTACATTTATTAGTTTTGACGTTCTCATATGCCTCTAATTTGAGACTTATTTAATTAATTTTAAATTATTAATATCTGTACAATGTTCTTTATCAAAAATACGTTGAGCAACGCCAATATTTATCCGGTCTACCGTATCTTACTAAATCCAGTTAATATTGATCTAGTTTGCCCAATATACCTAATTACAATTTTTACACGAAATTTCATAAATACCCGACCTTTCCAGAGGAGGTGTTTTATCTTTAGGATTACCTAATAATTGTAGGTAATTTATTATCCGCATACCATGTATATTTGTCAGATTTTAACACGGGCAATATTTGTGGTTCGGATACTTTTACTTTTGGCCGGCAAAATTGAAATAGATACTTCATACGACATAAATATAGGTACCTATTACAAATATTATTCTTCTTTATAAAATTGATAGGTCCTTTGTTAATAGCTAACGTAAGTTTATTTCTGCAATATAATTCTAAAAACATTCGATATTCTTGGATAAACATTAGCAACTCGACGACAATATTGCATAATCTTTGACATCACTTTTAGTTCATTTTTTTTGGTTATTTTAGAATTTAGAAAGGTCCAATCTAACAGAAAACGTTATTTACTTACATTAAACAGTCAATTTTTAGTGGACCGGTACGATTAATTGTGTATAAATATGTCTCTGTCAATTTTAGTTTAATTAATATTTATTATTCTGCCTAAATAAACTTGCAAATATCCACCGCAGCCTTGAGCTACGTGACAAAATTTCAGCATCGTACCGATTTCATCACACAGGTGTTAACCCTACGTAATAAGAACCAGTAAATGAAATTTTAAAAAGTCAATGTATTAAGAATATTATACAGGGTGTCTCAGAAATGAGTGCAAATATTTTAAGGGGTGGTAGATCTGGTCAAAATAAACATATTTTCTCTTTACCATTTTTCAAATAAATTGAAAATAACCGAGTTATTTAACTTTAATTTAAAAAAATAATCGCAACATTTTGAGAACCGCCGGAAGATATTGCCAACTACATCCAATTACCCGGATCAAGCCCGGATTTCAGTTAATTCGACGCACTATGTTGCCATATGGACAAGGAAGTATATGTTTAAAAGAAAGTCATAAAATCACAACACCTGAGGAGTTTGCAGAGATGCATTACACTTTTAAGATTGTGATATTATTACATAAAATAAATTAAAAGTTAAATGTTTAAAAGTTAAAAAAGTTAAATTAAAAAACTTACCCAACATTAAAAAAGATACTTATGACAGATCGATGAAACTGCGGCAGTTCTCTTTTTCGATACACACTTAACTAAAATACACTTCATTGTGCTGCTTTACTTGTACATGCTATTATAAAAACTGCTAAAATGACAGTCCCCATTTTTAACTTAACATATTATTTTCATATAGGCTTCATCAAAATTATTTGAACCACTGATTTACAAAACACCTTGAAAAGCACATATTACACATTACTTTGAATACCTTTGTGAATGAATAAATGTTGAGAATTATTGTCTCTTACCGCCACTTTACGAACTACTTTCAATCTAAGAAAATACATGTTTCACTCAACAATTTTAAATACCTATTTTGTTTTTTCGCTATTTTTTCGATGTATTTCGACAATTCCGTCGACCATCCAACCGTCGGCCAAGACAGCCGCGCATCACTGGTTGGTAACTGCTCACTGCTCCTTTGTCGCGCCGGCGTGTCGAGCCTGCGTCATGCGAGGTTGCCGTAGTTTCAACAATTTCAAATTCAAGCCACTCGAAGCAATCAAATTCTTATTCAATTTTAAAAATAAAACAGAAAAAACATGAAAGGAAACAAACAACACAAATGAATTGATTATATAAGGTCCCAAAAAAGAAATTTCTAAAATGTTTATCGTAATTCAGAATTCAATATATCGAAAACAGCCCGACGAATAATCAATTCATTTTAGTTTTGTTTGTTTCCTTTCATGTTTCTCTGTTTTATTTTTAAAATTTAATACCAATTTGATTGCTTCGAATGTCTTGAATTTGAAATTGTTGTAACTACGGCAACGTTGCTTAACATCGTCGTCTGACGCAAGCCCGCCACGACGGCGCGGCTCAAACGACCAGTTCACACGTGGCACTCTTGGCCAACGCGCGACGGTTGGGCTGTCGAAATACATCGAAAAAATAGCGAAAAAACAAAATACGTATTTAAAATTGTTGAGTGAAACATGTATTTTCTTAGATTGAAAGTAGTTCGTAAATTCGCGATAAGAGACGGTATTCAAAGTAATGTGCGCTTTTCAAGGTGTTTTGTAAATCAGTGGTGCAAATAAAACAGAGAAACATGAAAGAAAACAAACAAAACAGAAATTAATCGATTATTCGTTGGGCTGTTTTCGATATATTGAATTCTAAATTACGATAAACATTTTAGGAATTTTTTTTGTGACCGGGTTGTGAATAATATGATGAATCATTTTCGTAAACGTCATAAACGTAATGTTTTAGTTAATTTTCAGTGGTTTTTGTTAAGTTTTCATTGAAAGGGTAAGTACTAAAAATAATTAATGTGTTTTTTTTCTATAATAATTATTAATAATGAGCACTGATAAAATATTAAATTTAACATTCCTAATTTTTGAGTAGAAATTTGTCAATGTCAAGAAATGTAGAATGTGGATAACATAGGAGGTTGCAACACTGCAAGGTTTAGATACACCGTAGAGAAATCTCAGGTGAATAAACAAGTGGCACTAAAAAGTTTTTTCAAATTTCCCGGAAAATGTCAAGAAAAATTATAAATTTTCAACATTTTTTTTCGCAAAAAAAACTCATAGGCCTGTTTCTGGGGTTGAACTATACTGCCAGTTAAAATATTTGCACTTATTTCTGGGGCACCCTGTATATACCTATACATTTTCTCCGATGTGAATAAAAACCATAGAGGGAAACAAATTTACGATCAACGATTTCAAATATTTTTTGTTCTTTTCCTAAAAAATACTACACTAAAGCTCAGTCTATACATAACGTTTTACCTTAAATTCTTAATTAATCTTAATAAAGCTTAATCCATCTTACATGACAGGTAAAAGGTGATGTGTAGGCCTAACTTTATAGCATTTTCTTCTTGAGGTCGCTGGCTTTACACGAACAATAAATCTTATTTGTTTACTTCTGCAGCATGATTAAAAGGAATTCACGATCACTTTCTTTTGGTACTACGACAAATGACTAATAAACAGTAACAATATCACTGCACAGTACAGTGGTATGTAAGTAGTAGGATGGGTAAAACTTCAAATTTCTGTACATAGAGTAACTAAAAGATTTCTTCAAATCTATATTTTCTGTCAATTTTTATTTAATTAATATGTATTATGGCTGCTTAAATAAACTTGCCAATAAAAACAACGGCCTTGATGTAGGTAACAAAATTTCAGCATTGTACTGATTTCATAATATAGACGTGAATGAATTTTTGTAATGAACAAAAATCATTAAATGAACCGCCTAAAATTAGAAATATTCTAATATAACAACAATATTCATATAAAATATATTTGAGGCTGTAACATTTGGTAATTTAAAATACCTTTGAAAGATTTTTCATTAACCATGTTAATATAATAACTACTGATAAACTGAAATTAACTACTGATAACTATTGAAACTTACCTCTTTTCTTTGTACATGTGATAGTTAACTGCCCTAGCCATCAGAATAGCTACCATAGGCCTAATAGCTTTGCCGTTTCCATCGAAATAGTATGTCGCTATTTCGTAGAGGTCTTCTTGGTATGTGTTTCTCCTTAATGCCTAAAAAGAAAAAAAAACAGATATAATAAAATATATTTAAGGATATAAATAGATAAAATAATACACTCAATATATATAATAGCTCTAAAAGCCTAAAAGGTTCATGGCTTGATTGGTTATCTTTCTCCATTTGTTTCTGTCTTTCGCCTTTATTCTCCACCCATCCACTCTTATCCCTCTCAAGTCCTCTTCTACATCCTTTTTCCATCTGATTCTCGGTCTACCCCTCCTTCCCTTTCCACCTATTTCACGTTTCATTATCATACTAGGAATTCTTGCATCAGCCATTCTTTCAATGTGTCCCAGCCATCTCAGTCTTTGTGCTCTTGCAACTCCCGTTATACTCGGCGCCCGATATAGTTGCTTTAATTCTTCATTTGTTCTTCTGGTCCATATGTTGTCTATCTTCTTTCCTCCAAAAATTTTCGTCAGTATTTTCCTTTTGCAAATCTCTAGCCTCGAACTTTCCGTTACATTGAACGTCCACGTTTCACATGCATACAGCACTATTCGTCGTATCATTGTTTGGTACATTCTAATTTTTAAACTTCTAGAAATGTTCTTACTCTTAATAATTTTCTGTAGTGCGCTGACACATCTATTTCCTGCCATTATTTATTTTTGCCATAATTTCTTGAGTTACATTTGGATTCCTTAGAAATACGGCTCTGAGATACGGGAATATATCTACTTCCTCAAACTTATATCGTTTACCTCTTTCAGAATCCATTTGTTGACATCTTCTCTTCTCAAAATCCCTATCTCCCAGAAACAAGAAACCGTTGACGTTGTTTTTCTTGTAGACTGTTTTCTGTTTTCTGTTTTAAAAAAGTAAAGTGTTCTTGAATAGTTGAATTTAAATATTTTAAATAGTTTTTCTCTTTATTCTTTGTATTTTTTTGCTTCCGACGACGGACAGAGATAAACGTTCCGAAACGTTACGCATTTTTTTCTTCGTTAGGCAAATTTGTATAACTGTAAACATAACTTCTGACAAGCAGTGTCCGTTTAGGTTTAACGCCCCCAGAAGTGTTTACAAAAAATAACTATTTTATTTTGTAGATTTTCTAGCAGTGCAGTGGCGAAATACCCATAAAGGATTTTTTTTGGAGAGATGAATCCGCCACATAGGTATAGACTAGGGGATTCCGGGATCCCGACGTTTTTTATCGGATTTTTTCAATCCCGGGATCCCGGGAAAATAATAACAGATCCCGGGATTTTATATAACATAGTAAAACGCTATTTTTAAGGTTATATATGCAAAAACTTTCTTTTAGTTGAATTCCTTATAGCGCCGCCGCCGCGCGCCGCCGACGAGCGATACGTCGGTGATTCCCGGAATAATAAAAAACTTTTGAAACAAGAAGTATCAAACCTCTTAAAACGACTAGATATAACAAGTAAAATCATATTAGATTCTTCAGATAGTTCGGAATCGGATGAAGATTTGCCAATTGCTACTATTCAGAACAGGTACCAGGCTTTAAATGATGACCTGTCATTTTCGTGAGAGGCTAGATGAAGCGTTAACCAAAAAAATGTCAAATCGAATGACAGTGCCACCAGTAACAAAAACTGAAAACTTGGAAGCCCAAATAAAAAATGAAATGGATACGTTCCAGAAGAGTGGACAACGTGGAACAAACTTACAACTAGTTTTTGATTTTTACAAGTGTAGAACCGGAAAGGTTTAATTTTTTTTTTTTAAAATATGGAATAATATTATCAGTCCAGTTTCTTTTTTGTTTTGTTTGAGATTTTTAATTTTTGTTTAATGTTATTTAAGAAAAATATTTACTTATTTTTGTGTTCCAAAGACTTTGTTTTTGTTTTAACTAATTAACGTTAATTTTAATAAAATATTCTTTGAAAGTAACATTGGTAACATTATTACTGAAATCCCGGGATTGAATCCCGGGATCCCGACAACATAAAACTGTCCGGGATTAAATACCCTAGGATAGACATTTTTTAGATATATCTGTATTTTACTAATAGATGCCGCAATATTTCAAACAAAAACACGCTTTTTTACCGACTCTTACACCATAACAAATAGAAAAAAAAACATTTGCAATTTGCGCAAATTATTCACTTACTCCTATCTGCACACACATCTACGATAATCGAAAAAAAAACGGTCTTGCAATCTGCACCATTGTTTCTGGCGTCTAATTTTCGCCTATTATTCTAATTCAAGGCCAGCCGAAAATTGCCAGCACCATCCGATTCGGTTTCTTCAATTTGGTTAACGAGCTGAAAAAGTTGAAGTGCGATCGTTCTAGAGGCCTACTTGTGCCCTCTACTGGAACGAGTGGTTAAGTTCTGCTTCGAATCGTGTCAAGTGGGTACTAACAAGCAAACGAAATGTCCAGACCACTTTTATTCTTTGCTTTATCTTATTGTAATTTTATTAGAGTAACATTTGTTATAAATATCTTTATATCTTATAGATTGGGATAGTCCAACTGTAATAAAGGACCTTTTTTCCATAACAATTGTTAAAATTGCCTTGTATCTATCAAAAATAGTAGATAAAATTAACTAACTTAAAAACTAACTAATAAAGTTAAAAATAAATGTTTTGAATAAACAACCACATATTCGTAGGCCGATTCTTTCTACTTCGATTGAAACGAAGTAGTCACACTAGTTATTTCTAAATTTGGGATATTTGCAGAAGTGTTTGTGCATTTTTTGTCAAATGTATAAAAAGCACCTAGCATCAATTGTTCGAATTTAACCTGTACTGGCTATGTTTTTATGATAACTGGCCAGAATTCATTCAAATAACTTTGTTTAGTATTAAACAACATTATGGAGCGTAGACACCTTAACAGAGACGAAATGCTAGGGGCCATGGGTTTGCTCGAAGCTGGAATGCGCCAAATCGACGTAGCTAGAGCATTAAATACAACGCAAAGTGTAATATCGCGATTAAGTGAAACCTACCGTGAAAATGGTGATGTTGCTGAAAGGCACACAGGGCGACATCGCATTACTACCCCTCAGCAAGATCATTTTTTTACAAATAAATGCTCGACGCCGACCGACTCTTACAGCACCAGAGGTTACTTTAATTCTCCAGGAAACACATAATGTAATCGTTAGTCACTGTTCGCAATAGATTAAGAGAGGTCAACTTAAGAAGCAGACGCCCCTGGAGAGCTCAACCTTTAACGAGAGGAAATCGAGAGGTATGATATTTGTGGGCTCAAGATCATGTTCAGTGGTCGAATGAACAATGGGCCAATGTTCTCTTCACGGATGAGTCACGCTTTGGAATTCATCCGTATTCGAGAAGGCTTAGGGTATGGAGAGAACCAGGAAATCTTATTCGGTCGGATCGTGTTCAGGAAGTGCACCCTTATCAAGGTGGAACAGTTATGGTCTGGGGAGGAGTCCAGTTAGGCCAAAAAACCGATCTCGTTTTTCTTGAAAGGTTTCTAACAAGAATTACATATCGTGATTTAATTCTTGAGCCTGTCGTGTTACCATATGCCAATGATTTTGGGAACAACTTCATTCTCATGCATGAGAATGCACGGCCTCATACAGCCAGAGTGGTAAGTGAGTTTATCAATGCTCATCAATTAAACATCTTACTCTGGCCGACACAATTTCCTGACCTCAACCCCATCGAGCACGTATGGGACGCGGTCCAAAGAAGAATTTTGAGAATGGGTATGCCTCGTGAAACTCGTAGGGATCTGGTTCGGGCCGTGAATACAGCGTGGCAGGCTGTACCTCAAGAAGAGATCGACAACCTGATTAGGAGCATGGAGAGACGATGTAGGGCTGTAATGAACAGTAGAGGAGGCCATACCCTTTATTAAGTAAAAATTGTAAATGTGTGTATTTTTTTGAGTTCAATAAAAATCAAGGCAAATTTAAAAAATTCGATAAATTTCGCATTTTTATTTCCAATACGTCCTGTAAACTATTTGTTTATTTTAATTTTATTATATCAGAAATGCGCAAAATAAAATTACTGACGATGGCTGGATAAAATTGTAATATCCCTAGACTTTTCCGGTGTGTTTAGTTCTTAAAAGAACTGTTTGTGCTTAAAAGTACAATTTTTAAAAAATTACTATGAAAATCGGCAAAAAACGAGAATTACTCACAAAAATTCAACAACAACACGATATTAAACAAAATAATGACTGCCATGATGATAATTGTCAAATAATAAACGACAACGTCGCTGAACACGGCACAATGTGACCAACATGGCGGTAATAAAATTCGGTTTAAACTAATTTTTGCAGCTTTAATATAAATAAAATATCAGTTACAATCATTTGCTCTATAAAGTAAAATGAAGAGCAGTTCGCTATCTTAAATTATACAACAAATTTAAATATTTTTGCCAAAATTTCATTTAGTCGGGTTTATAGGATTTAATGTCAATTTCGATACACTTGATGACGTGCATCGGAAAATGTTTTGCGAATACTGTAGTATTCTCCTCTAATGGTTTTCCTTTTCTAAAGATAATTGATTAAGATGACAAAGATGACTCCCTGGCTATTCCAAAAAACAGCCAATAGTTAGTACCAAAAAATCATATAAAATATTGTTTAAAAAATGTTTCCCAAAGCAACTAAAAGTTGAAAAATAAACTATTATAATGTGGAGAAAGTAATCATTCATCTTTCACCAAATTCAAATATTTCTTTAGTTCAAGTAGCTTCATCGACATTAATTTTATACAGTAGATTTTCATTAACTAAACTAATCACTGCTACTTATAATTAATCACATACGTTTAATTACGGTAATTTTTAAAAACCACTACAATTGTTCTACGTTCGAAACGAACCACTCCATCTAGCGTTGAGTAATGTTTATTTTCCTTTAATGAAAAAATGGTTAAAGATCGACCTCGAATGTCAGAAATGAGACTTAATAAAGATTCAAAGGTAACGTTCATTGTGAAGACGTATGATTTGAGTAATCTCTAAGTGTTTTTTTTTTCCTTATTTCTTTCAGTAATGGCTCTCAGAACAATGGTGTTGCAATTACTAGACAAACTTTGCAGAAAATTGATGTTGGATTTTTGCAATTTAACAAGGTTTTCGAGTTAACACACCTTAATGTGATTTTTATCAAATAAAATTCTTCTGTGGTGCAATAACGAAATAATTGATTAGTATGTAGTGCTTCGAAGAAATATCTTCCATTACAAAATTACCTCGGTATTGTGGTAATTAATTATTTAGTTAAATTAAAGATGAAATACTGAAATAATTCATATATCTGTTTAATTTGCAATATTTATTGCATTCTAATAAAAGCAGCTTTATGGTTCTAACTGCAAGGTATTCCTATGTTTTTTTAATTTGGTAATAGTTCCGAGGTCTTTGGATGACGTGCAAACTTTTACTGATTTCTTTATACAGTTCACACCAAATAAACTTTTAGCCACGTGATTAAGCTTGACCGACACAGCGTTGCCTACTTTAATATATTTTCTTTTAATCAAAATATTATAAGAAACAAAAATAAATCTATACTAATATATAAAATCCTTAAGTGACTGACCCACTGATTAATCACGATCCTGCTCAAACCACTCAACGTAAGAAGCTAAATTTTGGCATACAGGTTGATTCTAGGGTGTAGGGGTTTGATAAGAAGGGATTTTTCGAAATTCCAGTTCCAAGGGGGTGAAACTACCCCCCAAATATTACAATTTTTTTTATTATAAAAACAAGTTTCCTAAAAAACGCTTAAACACGTATATTTTATTTTGTTTTTTACATATTTTAAGATTTTTTAAAACTGTATACAGGGTCTTTCGAAAAATCTGGTCAATGATTAATCACGATCCTCTTCCCCTTGTCGTTGGTGGGGAAGCTCCTGGTCAGGTGCTGGGGGGAATCCCCCCTAGCACTTGGCTTGGTCTAAGAAGCATCTCACTCATCGTCTTGTCCCTGACTGTAGTGTCGTGGCCAGGGAATTGCACCAAGACATATAACGATACCGGGCGGGGCTACGGACAGCCCCAACCTTGGGGCACCGGGGGACACCCCATTGTATTTTACCCCTTACTTCTACATGCGGGGCTCTGTAGAAGTGGACCGACTGTCCCTAGCGACTCATGGGAACACTATGAGATCTGATAATAATAGTAATAAAAACATCACCGGTGAAGCTGTGGGGAAACCCCCTAGCAACACTGGGAACAGTAACAATGAAAGTTCCAAGGGGCCGAACCCAAAGAGAACTACAGGAGAGGTTTGATCCGGTTGATATGCCTCCGCAAGTGGCATACAAGCTACCACCTCCTCCAAGGGTCGGGAGCCTACCTCCTACCTCTAAACCCAACAGGCGACACAAGCTACCGTTTCGTCTACCCGGCCTGGGTCGTAGCTCATCGACTGTGAAGGACACGGGTCTCCGTAGGAAGTCCTGGGACTGTATGATGAGTTATAACTCAAGAAAGGGGGACACAATAGATTTCTAAGGTCGCAGAAATTAACCCCCCTCCCACTTATTCTAAATTCTTCTAATCACGATCCTGCTTAAAGCGCTTGACGTAAAAAGCTGATTTTTGGGAAACGGATTGACTTTAGGGTGTAGAGGTTCGATAAGAAGGGATTTTTCGAAACTCGAATTCTAAGGAGATGAAACCACCCCTCAAATATTAGAATATTTGTTATTTAAAAACCGGTGAGTTTTTCGGAAAAACTCTTAAACACGTATATTTTATTTTGTTGTTTTACATATTTTAAGATTTTAAAAAATTTATACAAAGTGTTTCATAAAATATGACCATTGAGTAATCACTATTCTGCTTAAATTGCTTGACGTTTAAAGCTGATTTTTGGCAAACGAATTAACTGTGGAGTGTAGAGGTTCGATAAGGAGGGGTTTCTCGAATCTCAAATTCCAAGAGGGTGAAAACGCCCCTCAAATATTACAATATTTGTTCTTTAAAAAACGGTTAGTCATTCGGGAAAACGCTTGGACAAGCATAATTTATTTGGTTTTTCTACATACTTTAAAATTTTTAAAAAAATCATACAGGGTGTTCCAAAAAGTTGGGTAATTTCTTAACCACGATTCTGCTTAAACTGCTTGATGTAAAAAGCTTATTTTTGGCAAACGGATTTTTCGAAAGTCAAATTCCAACGAGATGAAACTACCCCTCAAATATTACCAAGTTATATAATAATATTGCCATATTGTTTTTTCTCATGCTGACATAAATGTGAGAAAATGTTATCCATCCGTTTGTATATTAATGTATGAAATTCTTGCTTTGCTTTATCATCAACATTACAAATGATTAATTCGACGAGCACGAAGTCGCGGGTACACGCTAGTTAATTATAAATATATAAACAGTTAATACATACATCAACAAAACTCACCTTCTTAATAGCACTTAAGGGACATAAAGGGCCATTACTACCGTTTTCCCGTTCAAAATATTCTAATAAAGTTGCGATGAGTTTTTACAGCTATTAAGTAGGTAGTAGGTTTACTTACATTTCGAACATACGTATAAACATCTTTAAGATCATCCTCCAGCAATCGGTACGGATCGACTTGGTACTCTGGCATTGGTCCCGGTTGTTGCGTGTTCATGGTTGCATAGTTCCTCATTTGAGTGCCGCGGTGACATGACAGCGCTGTCAAATTGTGTTCCGGACGAATACACGGGTGCAAACTAATGGAATTCGGTCTGTGTAGGTCTGTACTTTGGGTGGGTTCGTTAGAAGACTGTCGTTGGCCGTTCTGAAACAAGAAAAATGTATCGTAAATAAAATGTATATAATTAAAAATGTGTTTATTTATAAAACATACAGGGAGAAACAAGCCCTATAATATAGGATACAACATTTTAATGAACAGTGCTTTCCATAAAATCAATAAAATGAAAAATATACGAAATAATATACATGTACTGATTTCTTTCGGAAATCGACAACTATGAAACTATGAACCCTTCCCGGACACAAATAGTACATTGTGAGACAGGAAATTGTAGAGAGAAACAAGCCCTATAACATAGGGTACAACATTTTAATGAACAGTGCTTTCAATAAAATGAATAAAATGAAAAATATGCGAAATAATATACATGTACTGATTTCTTTCGAAAATCGATAACTATGAAACTATGAACCCTTCCCGGACACAAATTGTGAAACAGGAAATTGTAGAGAGAAACAAGCCCTATAACATAGGATACAACATTTTAATGAACAGTGAATAAATAAGAAAAATTGATATATCTATAGAAATAATCTACCCATCATCACCATATTCGTTAATTGCTTTTTCACGATCACTAGTTAATTTAATTCAGCAAAAACTTCATTTAAAATCAAATAAGTAATAATTATATGTAAAGTGTATAATTAACTGGATATGACACTAGCAGATTTAATTACAAGCATTATTAACAATAACTAGCAAATGCTTTGTTTCGATATAAACAATAATATGGTCATTATAAATTACAGAAATCATTCTTGTAAATAAAAACAAACATAAAACACACCTGTCACAGCGAGGTCACCGGAAGATATTGTTATTGTTAAATTCCTGAAAATCTCGCACATCTTGACAGCTTTTTTTTAATAAAAACTGAATAATTTGATTTAATTAAGCTTGTCCATTTTGGGATTAATATTCTACACAATTAGAGACATTCACAGTAAAAAAATCACTAATTAGTGTTGGTTTTTAACTGGAAGAATTTTATGAGTATTTTCTTCATGACTAATCATACTAAAATAAGGTAAATTCCTGTATACCGGAAAAATGTATTGCGGAAACTTCGACAGCATATTCTGCTGACAAAAATAAGTAAAAAAGTCCGTATAAACGTACGTCCGAAAATGTTTAGTTTCGGAGATACAGGGTGTAGATGTTTCATTTTTATTTCGATTTTTTCCAGATAATGTCTGAAGGAACATCACCATATGGATGAAAATTGGTGTCTGGGAGTTTTTTGGCATGAGAAATTTGATTTTGATGTCAGTATGACTCCTACTTTTAGAGGGCGCCATCTACATATTTTTTAACTGGTTTGAAGTGTAATAACTTTTTGTCAATACCTGTATAAAACTACATAGTAAAAAAATAGACATTTGCGACGTTTTTTACGTAAAAAAGGTCTCTTGGTAAAAATCGCTACGAGTAATGGTTCTCCAGATATTTGGAATCAAAATTATCAATACCTGTCATTATTGACACAAATTAAACATGTTGACTGAATAGACTGAAATCATAAATTTGAAATGTTTTTGTGCCAAAAGTTCAACAGAAACTGTTTTATCATCATTTTTTCGAAGAAAAATTTATGATTAATTTAAAAAATTAAAAGTTCTCAAATTTATCATTTCAGTCAAATAACTACATATCTACTCAACATGTTTTTTTTGTCAATAATGACATGTATTGACTATTTCCATTCTAAATATCTTAAGAACGGTTGCTCGTAGCGATTCTAGTTTCGTTTAGTTTCGTTTATGTACTCAAGTCATGATTGTAGAAAACCCTGTCTTTTAATTTCCAGAATGCTCTTGAGGCGCTGCTAATCCTGTGCTGAATTTCAGAGTCGATATTGGCCTTTTCCTAAATTAAACTGCGGAGGTAATTGAATTCCGCTACATATTCCAATAGTTCTTCTCCGATTTTTATAGCATTATTATGATCTTCCGGGGGAGTGCACATGATTTTGGTTTTGTCAATGTTTAGCTTAAGGCCCAAAGCCTCGTATGCCCAGGTATATGTGTTCAACATTTCTTGTAATTGTTGTAACGTGTTTGCAACTAGAGCACAGTCATCAGCGTATTGAAATTCTGTGATGAGTTTTGTACTTGTTTTTGCCCTGAGTCTTTTTATATTGAACAGACCGCCGTCATATCTGTATCTAATGCCCAGTCCTCTCTTCTGTAGTTTGCTGTCCACCATAGAATAACTAACTGAAAGAAATGAAAACTCCTATGTTAAAGCCTGGAAACACGCGCTCGACGCGATCCAAGTGGGCTACTGGCAGAACTAAAAGTTCGCGCCATATTTTTAAATGGACCTTTACTGCCAGTTCATAAGTTTTTTACTTATATTTGGTAATTTCAATCTAGATTATGAATTTATTTGTAACAAAACATTTTACAAAATAAAAATAATGTATTTTGATACAAATAAATTAATAAACTAGGTTGAAATTATCCCTGAAATTAGAATAAAACCCAAAAAATTTGTAACTTGATTATTTTATTATAACATTGTTAATAAAATTACATAAAACACATTCAACACTATACAAGTAGGTATATATAAAAGTTATCAGAATTTATACAATCAGTTATAAGTAATTATATAAAAGGTTATAAATTATAAATAAATAATTCATTATATAAAAGACATATAGTTACCGTGAATATAATTTGGTATAACTTTAATCTCAACTTTAATGACCTATTCAAATAGAAACATCTTACAATTCACATTATATAATACACAAAGCCAAGGGACAAAATTGTTATTAAATCTATTCTCGATGACTCGAAGCATTTTTTTTTTCAAATAAAACAGGACATATAGGGCTTATAAATAATACAAGGGTATAGAAAATATATAATCGTTTAAATAAATAAATGATCTTTTTAAAATTACTTGTTTGTCTTTGCAAATTTGTATATTTAATATTTATCTAAAAGCGTACACTTACATAAATTACTGCACAACCTTTAAAATTAAGCTTTTAATACGTTATACAAATTCTTGATTCGATATAAATACACTTAAATAAAACTTTAAAATTAATGATCTTCCAAATTTCTGAGACAGCCATTTTGTTGAAAGAATTTGTTTTGATTATGAGAAATTTCATAAAAATTATCACAGGGATTAATTAATCTTATATATTAAACTACTTGGCTTTTAAATTTCACAATCCTATCGTCCAAAATACTCTAAATTCGCAAAAATCCGTAAAATATTCCCATAAAAACAAATCACAATTCACTTCCACTTCACAGAAACTGACAGACATTGCCAAATATGGAATGACGTTTATTTTTCAATTTATTTTACTGATCTAACTGATCCGGGTCACTTAGAAATTAAATTTTTATTAAATTATTTAATTATAGTTGTTTCTGGCGAAAGCAACTTCATATCAATGCTTATTCATAGGGTAACAAAGCACATCACTGTTAAATTATCAACATTTTATATAAATATTTATATTTTTCAACTACTCCAACTACTCCAATTACTCCACAGAGAATGAAACGAATTGTTAATTAAACTATACTCTGTGGATGACTTGATAAAATCATGACGAAATTAAAGTCCCTAGATGAATATCTAGGGACTTTAGATAAAATTTCTACGCAGCGCCATCTATCCCTCTACTGGCAGAAACTCCGCCGTGTTTCCAAAATTCAAATGACAGTTTCATCCGCCTGCTGTCCACTATAATGGAGAGCGCTGCCATGAATATGTTGAATAGGAGAGGCGCTAAGACACATCCCTGCCTAACTCCTGTATTTGTTAGGAAGGGATCGCTCAGTGATCCATGATGTGGCCCTCTTGAATGGTTGTTGTTGTGGAGGCTTTTACACACTGTAAGAAATTAGAGTCATTACTGTTCACAGAGTCGAAGGCTTTTGTTAGATCGATGAATGCAACATAAAGTTTAGACTGCTGCTCTTTTACTTTTTCCTGTAGTTGGCGAATGGAACATATGGAATCGACGGTGCCACGGTTGGTGCGAAAACCCGTTTGCGATTCTGGGAGGATTTTTTCTATATGTGGGTGCAGGCGATTTGACATAATTTTTGCAAGAATTTTTCGTCCGCTAGCCAACAGTGTTCAATTCAAGATTTTTCTATTATTTCAACAGAACTATTCATCTTGGAAAAGAGCATATTCCTATATGAAATCGGCTTGGTATAGCGTTAACAAAATGAGGTTAATTTATTTTAAGAAATATTAGTTTATACATTTATTCCGTAAACGGTGTTTGCAACAGCCATAATTAATGAATCTTGCTTGGTATATTCATTTGCTTAAGCAAGTGAAACAATAATCAAGTTTCACTTAAGTTTGAGCGTTGATCTTGTGTCATGACTCAATCAATATCAATACATAATATTAAAGGAATAGGAGTTGAATAATATGTACAGGGTGGACCATTTTAGTTGTTTCTACAGGGTATCTAGGAAACCGTAAGAAATATTCAAATTTTGATATTGCAGTCTCGGGTTCTTTTTTTTGAAAAAATCACAATGGCACAAACGGATCGTGACTATCTTTATCGGTTTCGAAGCTACAGGGGGATTCTCAAATTTTGTACTTTTTGAAGATGTCCGATAGTTTGTTTATTTCAGCAAACCAAGGAAAAATAAATTATACATTCTAAAGGCACTTTTCTGTGTAGAATGCAGTGGCGTAGTCTAACTTTTTTCGAAAAAAATATTTTTTTTAATATTAACTATACTTATGTTTTTTTTTTAAATAGAACCCCCTATATATTTTTAAATTTCCTGATTTAGCTTGGTACAGGTGTGTGGCGCCCTCTGCAAGTAGGAGTCATATTGACATCAAAATCAAGTTTCTCATGTCAAAAAACTCCCAGACACCAATTTTCATCCAAATATTGACTACTTTAGAAATTATTTGGAAACAATCGAAATAAAAATGAAACTTTTACACCCTGTATCTCCGAAACTAAGCATTTCAGAACATACATTTATACAAACTTTTTTTACTTATTT